TACACGTGGCCTGGAGGCCACACAACCACAGCGCAGTAGTTGAGCAACAAGGGAAATAAGTGGCTCTGGTGTTTCCCTTAGCCTCACTGCTCGTCAATTGTATTCTCTTTAACTCTACAAACATTTTTTTCAACACAGTTGTGCACATTAATTGCTACTAATCGAGATGCGGGGGAGCCGCTGCCGCAGTACCATCACCTGCTTCTGATTTTTCGTTGAATCTTCAGTATCTGGTGTTTCTTTGGGCTCATGAGAGCTGCCATACTCCCCGTATTCTCTTGAGAATTGTTTGGCCAGCAATACTCGGCCAAACAATCTCATTTTGGGCCTTTCTGAAAAGCGTTTTCAATGACAGAGTTACTTTCCCCTCTTCACGGCTCGGTCTGGACACAGCCGTAGGCCTCCATAAGGATCTATGCTCAATTTAGGCTTACCTCGTTACTACAGTGTCATTTGCAAACTTCACGCAATACTCCTTCAGGCCGCTGAACCTCCAATTTCATTGTAGAACTAAACCCGCTGCCAGCAACTGGGGTTTTGGGTCCTCTAGGCCACCTTTTGTAAAGTCAAGACGCCCAAGTCATATTACGGAGTCAAATGCTTACTTCGTTTCCCAAGGAAGCACACACTTGTAGATGCGCGTTGCGTAAGCCTCAAATTCTAGCACGAATATACCTGGCCTACATTGAAAGCACTCGCGATAGCTTTTGAAAACGCTCATATATATCAAGTTTGAGGGAGTGAAATATATGAAGTAATCTGTGTACTTATTGTGGCATCGGGCGAAGTTGCAAATTCCCAGATTACCTCGGCCGAATGTTTGAGCGCACACTTCGAGCCCTTTGAAGTGGCCACTGGCGGGCCCGGGCCGTTTAAAGGCAGAACTGAGGGCTAGAATAGCCCTTTGTTATTATACTTTTCTCTTTGTAGTATTTTCTCACTGAGACATACTGGATTTGCTGCTCTGTGGAGGCTTCTGCGGCGGTTTCGTGCCCGGGGTGCTGCGCAGGCAGGGAAATCGGGGGCTACTGAGGGGCCTCGGCAGCCGGCGATGAAGCGGAATTGGCAGTGAAAAAGGCCAAGTTGAGTTAAAATGAATTAGTGCTGAGGTGTACAAACACTGCAGGCGTCGCTGCTGGCCGGGGCTCAACGAATGACCGATACGAGTGGCTGTTGCTGCTGCAGTTGCTGCAGCAAGCCACCGTTTGCAACTGAGCGCGAGGCGGCGCTGAATGGGGCGTGTGGCACCTCGAATGAAGTGGATCTAAAAGATAAAAGCGACTAAACTTTTTATCTAAACGCAAAAATAAATTGAGACGCCAGCCGTCTGCCGAGGCAGCCGAAGAAGACCCACGCGGCTGCCGCTGTCCGCCTCAGCAGCCGGGCACATGTAGCGCCAGCATCGCCGCGATTTGATCTAAGTACAAATCCCTTTTCTTTACTGAATAAACTCATAAAGTCTCAAGGGAAAAGCCAAGAAAAGCCATTTTTAACTCCACAGCCACCAGCCCGAGTGGTTCCTCGCTGCGGCTGCGCACTGACAGTGCTGCTGTGCGCCGCCGCCTTGGCTGCCTGCCTCAGCCTCTCTTCTTTTCCAGCTTGAAATCAATAAAGGCTGGGGACACGAATGACCCACTTGTGCACAAGTGTGAAGCAGACGACCACAGTCTCTGGGGGCGCACTTTGCCTGTGCGGACTCTGCAGCGCGGAGGCTCTCGGACGTTTGGCCGTGGCCGCAGCAGCAGCAGCAGCGCCCGGGGCCCGCAGCAGCAGCAGCAAGCCTCTTATGCCTCGCCGGCAGCCCCGAACTGAAAGCCAGCTGCCCCTTCAAGGCGGGAGGCCCCTCCCCTCTGGCCTGCTGCAGCCGCTGTTCTCTGGGCTTCTCTCCGCGCCGCTTTAGGGGCCCCAGGGGCTGCCCCGCGCCGCTGCATTCAGGGCTGTCGAGGGCCTTTTTGCTGCTGCTGCTGCAGCAAGCCCGCAGCAGCAAGCTGCGCCCGCTGCAGCAACCCGCAGCGCCCTCCTGCACTCCTCCCTGGCCGCGCGGCGCGCTGCTTTCCTCAGCTTCTTCGAAAATGATTGAAGATGTTGACAAACACGTTCTCCGCAAATATGACATTGTCCAGAAGCTCGGCAAGGGGGTGAGTCTGCGTTTCCGGGTGTACGTACACCCCAGCACGCGCCAGTTGCCCAGCGCCTGCTCCGCGGCCGTGGGTTCCCGGGTGTACGTACACCCCAGCCTTGGCACGCCTCCCGCGAGCCTGCCCCTCGCAGTTGGCTGCAGTTGCGGCCTGTGGGCCCCCAAACCCTTTTCTAGGGTTTATCTGGGGTTTAGATGTGCACTTTGCTGCTTCCTGTCGCTGGGCTGGGCTGTTTTGCTGCGGACTGAGCAGCAGCCGCAGCAGCGGAGCAGCGGAGCAGCAGCTGCTGCTGCAGAAGCAGAGCAGGGGGCTCGGGGGCTGGGGGCCCGGGAGGGCTAGGGTTTAGGGTTTAGGGTTTAGGGTTTAGGGTTTAGGGTTTGGCGTGGGCGGCGCAGGCGTACGGAGTGGTGTGGAAGAGCTACGACCGGCGCACCAACGAAGTGGTGGCCCTGAAGAAGATCTTCGAGGCCTTTCATAATGCCACAGATGCCCAGCGGACTTTTCGGGAAATTATGTTTCTGCAGCAGCTGGCTGGCCACGAGAACATCGTGCGCCTCATGAACGTCTTGAAGGCCGACAACGACAGAGATATATATCTGGTCTTCGACTTCATGGGTCAGTGCGCCCGCCGCAGCTTTCGGGTGTACGTACACCCCGCGCGCGCGCGTGTGCGTTCGGGTGTATCGACACCTCGCCGTTGCGCCTGTTGCGATCAGAAACGGACCTCCACGCCGTCATTCGCGCGCAAATTCTCGAAGCAATTCACAAACAATATATCATTTACCAACTTCTGCGGGCCATCAAGTACATGCACTCGGGTGAGCCTCCGCTCCTCCCGAGCTGTACGTACACCGCAGCCCCGGCGCTCTCCAGCGGCTTCGGGTGTACGTACACCTCATTTGCGCACCAAGTCGGCCCGTGGCTCTCCCCAGCCTCGCGCGCCTGAGACCAAAGCGCCTCTCTTTTGCTGCTGCTGCTGCTGCTGCTGCTGCTGCTGTTGCAGGCGAACTGCTGCACCGCGACATGAAGCCTTCGAACATTCTGCTGAACAGCGAGTGCCACGTGAAGGTGGCGGATTTCGGGTGAGAGGATATCCCTGAGTGGGAGGCGTCTGAGAGTTTGCAGGGGCCCATTAGGGTTTAGGGTTTAGGGTTTGGGGTTTAGGGTTTAGGGTTTAGCTCGAACATTTGCATTTCCCGAGCTTGCGCCCACCCGGTCCGCAGCGCGCGCAGCGAATTCCCGCGCTGCCGCGGGCGCTGCGTGGCCGCGGGCCGCGGCCCGCGGGCCTAGGGTTTAGGGTTTAGGGTTTAGGGTTTAGGGTTTAGGGTTTGGGCGCAGGCTGGCGCGGTCAGTGGCGCACGCAGAGGGCGGCGACGCCAGCAGCAACCCAGTGCTGACCGACTACGTGGCCACCAGGTGGTACAGAGCCCCCGAGATTCTGTTGGGTTCGACTTGCTACACGAAGGGCGTGGACATGTGGTCTTTGGGGTGCATTTTGGGGGAACTTCTCTCCGGCAAACCCATCTTTCCCGGTCCGCAAACCCTAAACCCTAAACCCTAAACCCTAAACCCGCGACTTGGGGGCAGTTTGCGGCAACTGCTTCCGGGGTAACTCGGCCTTCCCGGTACTCATATCCTAAACCCTAAACCCTAAACCCTAAACCCGCGACTTGGGGGCAGTTTGCGGGAACTGCTTCCGGGGAAACTCGGCTTTCCCGGTACTCATACCCTAAACCCTAAACCCTAAACCCTAAACCCGCGACTTGGGGGCATTTTGCGGGAACTGCTTCCGGGGAAACTCGGCTTTCCCGCCGCGCAAACCCTAAACCCTAAACCCGGCCTGGGGGGCATTTGGGGGGAACTCCTTTCGGGGAAACCCACCTCTCCTGGTACTCAAACCCTAAACCCTAAACCCTAGACTTGGGAGCATTTTGCGGGAACTGCTTCCAGGGTAACTCAGCTTTCCCGGTACTCAAACCCTAAACCCTAAACCCTTGACTTGGGGGCATTTTGGGGGAGCTGCTTTTGGGGAAGCACATCTTTCCCGGCACCCAAACCCTAAACCCTAAACCCTTGTCTTTGGGGGCATTTTGGGGGAACCGCTTTAGGGCATGCCCGTCTTTCCCGGTACTCAAACCCTAAGCCCTAAACCCTAAAAACTAAACCACCGACTTTGGGGGCATTTTGGGGGAGGTGCTTTTGGAGAAGCACATCTTTCCCGGTACACAAACCCTAAACCCTAAACCCTAAACCCTCGACTTTGGGGACTACTTTGGGGGAGGTGCTTTTGGGAAACACATCTTTCCCGGTACTGAAACGCTAAACCCTAAACCCTAAATAAATCCTCGGCTTTGGGTGCATACTGGGGAGGTGCTTTCCGCGAAGCCCATCTTTCCCGTTACACAAACCCTAAACCCTAAACCCTCGACCCCAAACGCTGCACCCCCCCAGCACACATCTGCAAACACTGCACCCGAAACCCTCCCAGCGAACACTAAACACTAAACCCTTCTCAGCGAACACTAAACCCTAAACCCTCCTCAGCAAACACTAAACCCTAAACCCTCCTCAGCAAACACTAAACACTAAACCCTCTTCAGCGAACAACCTTCAAGCCCTCTTCGGCAAACGGAAAACGCCAAACCCTCTTCAGAAAACCCTAAACGCTAAACACTCTTCAGCAAACCCTAAACCCTTTTTGCCCGCTCCTTACGAGGCCCCAAACCCCATTTTGCGGTTCCCCTGGGATAATCACTCGCGGTGCAAACCCTAGCTGCAGAAACCCTAAACCCTAACGAGCTGCCTAAACCCTAAACCCTAGCTGGAAACCCTACACCGCCCTCGCTTTGCCCTGGACGCTGCCTTGCCCCGTTTGTGTGCTGCTGCTGCTCCTCTGCTGCTGCTTTTGCTGCTGCTGCTGCTGCTGCTGCTGCTGCTGCGCAGGGTCTTCTACTCTGAACCAACTCGAGCGCGTCGTGACGCTGACTGGATGGCCCTCGCGCGAAGACGTGGCAGCAATAAGAAGCCCCTTTGCTGCTACCATGATGGAGGGCCTCCCTGTAGTGAAGCAAAAGTGAGGCCTCTGCTGCTGCTGCTGCTGCTGCTGCTGCTGCTGCTGCTGCTGCTGCTGCTGCTGCTGGTGTTGCTGCTGCTCCTAGTGCTGCTGCCGCTTCTGCTACTGCTGCTACTTCTACTGCTACTGTTGCAGCTACTCCCGCTTCTGCTGCCGTCACTGTTGTTGCTGCTGGCGTTACTGTTGCTGCTGCGGCTCCTGTTGCTGCTGCGGCTGCTGCTGCTGCTGCTGCTGCTGGACTATCCCCGCATTTGTCTCACTATACTCCGATAAGCAAACGAAACTCTTTCATTTATTCTTTCAATCTGCTGCAATCTTTTTTGACTCTGCAGAAAACTCGAAGACTACTTCCCGGACGCGCCGCCCATGGCACTGGATCTGCTGCGGCAGCTGCTGCAGTTTAACCCCTTGAAGCGAATAAGGTTTGCTGCTGCTGCTGCTACTGCTGCTGCTGCTACTGCTGCTGCTGCTACTGCTGCTGCTTCTGTTGCTGCTGCTAGTGCTGCTGCTGGTGCTACTACTGCAGCAGCAGCTGCTGCTGTTGCCTTATCCTGTACGAGTCTGTGCTGCGCTCGGGTGTACGTACAGCGCAGAGAAAGCCCTGGAGCACCCCTACGTGAGGCAATTTCACAATCCCGAAGATGAACCAGTTTGTGGCCGCATAATAACAATTCCCATTGATGACAACACAAAGTGAGATTAAAAGCTTTATGTTTTTGCAGAAAAAGCCCGTAGATCTGCTGCTGCTTCCTGCAGCAGCAGCAGCAGCAGCAGCAGCGGGGCTGCAGCAGCAGAGCGTCGTGCAGCTCTTTGGCGGCGCTGCTGCGTGGGACGCTGCTTGCTGCTGGGGTGTACGTACGGCTGCAGATACTCCGTTGAAGACTACAGAGAAAAAGTTTATAATGAGGTAATTCGAAAAAAGAGAGAAACGAGGCGCCACAGACACGGCCACGGGACGTCTTCGCAGGGCACTTCAGGGGCCTCCACAGCCCCCAGCAGCAGCAGCAGCAGCGGCAGCAGCAGCAGCAGCAGCAGCGGGGCTGCAGCAGCAGGCGCGGGAGACGGCGACGCCCGGGGCTCTTCGCGCCACAGCACCACGCACCACTCCATGGGCGAGCAGCAGCCCGCAGCAGCTGCTGCTTCTGCTGCTCCCAGCCACAAGAGCAGCGGCAGCTACGCCCAGCAGCAGCAGCAGCTGCTGCAGCAGCAACAGCAGCTGCTGCAGCAGCAGCAGCAACAGCTGCTGCAGCAGCAGCGGCAGTCCCCCGCTGGCCCCTTCTCCTCAGTTGCTGGGGCCCCCTCAGCCGTCTACGCGCAGCAGCAGCAGCAGCAGCAGCAGCACATGGTGTATGGGGGGCCCCCCAGCAGGGAGACTCCTGTGTCTCAGCAGCTGTCATCAGGGCACTATGAGCACAGGAGGCAGCAGAAGCCTGTTGCTGCTGCTTCGCCTGTGCATTCCGGCTACACTTCCTACCCCGCAGCAGCTCCTGCAGCAGCAGCAGCAGCAGCAGCAGTACCTGCAGCAGCAACTGCTGCGGGTGCGGCCATGTACGCTGCAGCGGGAGCGACGCCGTCGCACAGCGCGGTGTATGGACGCTACACCCAAGGGGGCAGCAGCAGCAGCAGCGGCAGCAGCAGCAGCAGCAAAGGCCTTGAAGCAACACAGCGACGCTGACTGCAAGTAAGCCCTCGGCCCCGCTTTTTGCTGCTGTTCGTTTGCATTCGCCACACTTATTATTAGGGTTTAGGGTTTAGGGTTTAGGGTTTATCTTTTCTCATTTGGTTTCGCAACAACAAAGAAGCAAACTGCATGGGGTGTACGTACACCAGGTGCATGTACACCCCAAGGTGCTGCTCCAGCCCATCTTAATGAGCATGTGGTCATTTGCTGCTGCTGCGTTGCAGCAAGCACCTAGCTGCTGCTGCGCTGCAGCAAGCACCTAGCTGCTGCTGCGCTGCAGCAGATACCTAGCTGCTGCAGCGAGAAGGCACAGCAGCGGGGAGGGTTTGGGGCCCCTTAAGGGCTTTAAATGAGCCACACAAAGGCAGCAGCAAGTGCTGCTTGTTTGCTGCAGCGGGAGAAGAAGAGAAATCAAGAAAGACCAAAAGGGAAGGCACAGCGACTGAGACAAGAAACTAAACGACTGAAGCCTCGCCAGCCTCCCCCGCCGCCCACAAGCTGCTGTGCTGCTCCATAGCAGCAGCAGCTGCTGCAGCAGCTGCAGCAGCAGCAGCAGCAGCAGTTGTGGGCGCGACTGCGGGTCTGGCCCGGTGGGCCGCCGGGCTCTTTGCTGCGGAGCTCCAGGTGTCTTCTTTTTGCATTTTTGGCTTTGTTTGGACATTTTTAGAAACGCTAATTTTAATGCATGCAGCAGCAGCCCGCTCTGCTGCTGCTGCGCATTGGCTGCTGCAGCAACCGCAGCAGCAGGAGCTGCGGCTGCTTCTGTGCGACGGCAGCAGCTGCAGCAGCGGCAGCAGCAGCTGCTGCTGCTGCTGGACAACGGCAGCGGCCACAGCAGCAGCAGCAGATGCTGCTGTGGCTGCTGCCTGCCTCTCTTCAGCGGAGGTGCTGCTGTTGTTCAGCGGTGGGCTGGGCAACTGCTGCTGCTGCAGCAACTGGCAGCAAGTACTTTTTCTTGCTGCTTCTGCAGCGGCAGCAAGAGTGCTTGCTGTAAGCGGCAGCAGCAGCAGGTGTAGCAGGGTTCGCACGGCTGGCAGCCGGCAGGGAGAGCAGCAGCAACTGCAGCAGCAGCAGCAGCAGCAGCAGCAGGGTCTGTTTGCCTGGCTCAGCTGCAGGCCCGCAACGCTGAGAGCCATTTGGGGCTTTGAAGCCATGCGCTTTGACTTGGCTTTCCGCTAAATATTTAGGGTTTAGGGTCCAGCTCGTCCAGGGTTTAGGGTTTAGGGTTTAGGGTTTACGGCAATGGTAGTGCCTCTAGAATGCTGCTACCCACGGCTGTCGGCCTAGGGTTTAGGGTTTAGGGTTTAGGGTTTAGGGCTTCGGAGGAAAAATAAGCAGCCCCTGTGTGTAGAGACACCCGGGGAAGCTGCGGGGCGCACGCGATGAAAAGAGCACATCTAGCGTGTACGTGCTGCTGCTGCTGTTGCTGCTGCTGCTGCTGCTGCTGCTGCTGCTGCTGCTGCTGTAGGTTCGGGGGAGAGACAAAGACACAAGTGTTCAAAAAAGACGAGAAAAAGAAAAAGCAGACAGCCGCAGCAAAGCGACAGAGTGCAGCAAGGAAGGGTTTAGGTCCCCCTGAGTTACCATTGAGCCCAAGTCCCGCGCCAGCTGCTGCTGCTGCTGCTGCAGCAGCAGCAGCAGCAGCAGCAGCAGCAGCAGCAGCCTCAGTTCGCAGTTTTCTCGTTTTCAGGCTGAGACAGCGACAGCAAATTGGCTCTCCAGGGCCCCAGCAAATAGTGCGCCCTGTACAGACACTCCGCTGAGGGAAAAGCGGAAACTTTTGTCTCAGTCTTTTTATTTAATTTCATTTTTCTTTTTGCTGCTTCCTCTGCCCCCCTGCCCCTATCTACTCCGGCCTCTGCTCCCGCTGCTGTCTCTACATCTGCGCCCTGCCTGCCTGCATGCACCCCTGGGGGCCCCCCTGGGGGCCCCCCTAGAGGCCCCCCTAGGGGCCCCCCCGGGGGGCCCCCCTGGGGGCCCCCCTGGGGGCCCCCCGGGGGGCCCCCTGGGGGCCCCTCTGGGGGCCCCCCTGGGCCCTGGAAGAAGGCGTGGAGGATGGCCTCCTCTTTGGGCATGGGGCGCTTCGAAGCCAGCAAGCTGCGGGAAAGAACTTGCTGCTGCAGGTCAGCTTGCTGCAGCTGCTGCACCAGAGTCAAAAGACTTTCGACTTTTGCTGCTTCACTTTCTGCTTCTTCTCCCCAGAGGCCCCACACGTCGGCCTCGTCTTCGGGCGCCAGGGAGTCCGCAGCAGCAGCAGCAGCAGCAGCAGCAGCAGCAGCGCCCCCCTCCTCCACGGCCTGCAGCAGCTCCTCCACCAGCTGCGCCTCCGTGGGGGCCCCCTCGCCCGCCGCTGCTGCTGCTCCTGCTGCTGCTCCTGCTGCTGCTGCTGCTGCTGCTGCCCCGTGCCGCCGCAGCATGCGAAACTTCAGCAGCATTCTCTCATATGGCAGCAGCTGCCGCCCCAGCAAATATTCGCAGTCAGTTTCTGCTTCCAACAAACTGCTGTCATCTTCGCTCCATTCGCTGCAGCCGCTGCAGCTGCTGCGCCCGCCCTTCTCCCCGTCGCTGCTGCCAGCAGCAGCAGCAGCAGCAGCAGCAGCAGCAGCGGCGGCGGCGGCCGCGGCGGCGTCAGTGGGGCCTTCCGCCTCCGCAGCACCAGCAGCAGCAGCAGCTGCTGCTGCTGCTGCAGCAGCTTCGAGCTGCTCCGCTGCTACAGGCTCTGCTGCACGCAGCTCCAAAGCCTCCCCACACGTTTGCTGCTCGTCAGCAGCAGCAGCAGCAGCAGCAGAGCTGTCAAGTACCCCCGAAGACAGCCCAGGGGCCCCTCCGTGGGGGCCCCCTGGACCCGAGACCCCCAGCAGCAGGCCCGGGGGCCCCCCTTGGGGGCCCCCCCCGTGGGGGGCCCCCGGCGCTGCGTCAGCAGCAGCAGATTGCGCCATTGGCAGAAGCAGATGGCCCAGAGACTGAAGTGCTGCTGCTGCTTCCAGGCCTCCCCTTGCTGCTGCTTGCTTCTGCTGCAGCAGATCTGCCATTTGCATGCGCTGCTGCGTCTGCAGCAGCTCCAAGGAAAGGGCCCGGGAGAGGCCCGTGAGGGCCTGCAGCAGGGCCCCGTGGCACTGCGCAGGAGCAGCAGCGCCCGCAGCAGCAGCAGCAGCAGCAGCAGCAGCGCATGCAGCTTCCGCCTGCTGCAGCAGCAGCTCCGTGGCTTGACGACGCCCCAGCCGCTGCTTCTTCAGACTCAGTTTGTCTCTCGAGAAGCAGCACAAACTCGCGCTGCGGGTTTTGCTGCGGAAGCGCTCAATCGCCTCAGACAGGTCTGCAGCAGCAGCCACCGCTGCTGCTGCTGCTGCTGCTGCTGCTGCTGCTGCTGCTCCCTCTGGGGCGGCTGCCCCTGCCAGGGCGGCTGTTCTTGCATCCAGCGGGGAAAACGGAGACGCGGTGCCGCCGCAGGAAGCTGCTGCCGGTGTTGCTGCTGCTGCTGCTTCGGGCGTTGCTGCTGCTGCTGCAGCTGAAGGAGTTGCTGCTGCGTCTGCAGGAGTTGCTGCTGCAGCAGCTGGCCTGGGCGTCCTCGCAAGCGCCGCAGCCGCAGGCAAAGACGCTCTGCGTCGCAGCGGCCTCGTGCGCCTCAGCACGCGGCGCCAGGGGTCTGTCTGCTGCTGCTGCTGCTGCTGCTGCTGCTGCTGCTGCTGCTGCTGGGGTGTTTGCTGCTGCTGGCGCTGCTGCGTTTGCTGCCGCTGCTGCTGCTGCTGCTTTGTCCCGTCTGCTGCGCTGCTGGGGCTGAACTCGGGGAGCGGCAGCAGCAAACTGGCGGGAATGCGTCTGCGCTGGGGCCCCTTGCTGCTCTCCTGCTGCTGCAGCAGCAGCAGCTGGAAAGAGCGCTCCTTGATGAGGGCCCCCTTGGCTTTTGTTGCAGACACGGAGCGGCTGAGGCGGCTTATGAGGGAACTCAGCTGCGCCTTTTGCTGCTCCAAACGCGCTAGGGTTTGCCTGCATGCAGCAGCAGCTTGCTGCTGCTTGCTGAAGGACAGCCGGCTGAAAAGTGCTGCCATTTCCCCCACCATTTGCTGCCGCTGCGCCCGCTCTGCAGCAGCAGCAGCAGCAGCAGCAGCAGCGCTGGGGGCCCCCCTGGCGCCCGCCAGCTGCTCCTCGCGGCGGCCGCTGCTGCTGCTGCTGCTGCTGCTGCTGCTGCTGCTGCTGCTGCTGCTGTGCTTGGGGGGGGCTCGCCACTGCTTGAGGGAGTGGAAGGCCTCGTTTCTGCTGCGGAGGTCCGAACTCTTCTGCTGCCTCTGTCTCTGGTGAAAGGCGTCGAGAAAGCTGGCAGCAGCTGCTGCAGTGGAGCGGCAGCGCCGCAGCAAAATGTCATTTGCTGCTGCAGGCGACTGAGACGGCGGCGAGCTGTCTGCAGCAGCAAAGGGGGGCATCGAGGAAAGCCGCGCAACCCCCTGGGGCTGCCAGCACGGGGCGCCACACGCAGCAGCAGCAGCAGCAGGGCTGCTGCTGCTGCTGCTGCTGCTGCTGCTGCTGCTGCTGCTGCTGCTGCTGCCTGCGCCGGGAGAAGCGCCTGGATCCCTCAAAAGAGCAGTTTCTGAGGCGCCCTCGCCCTGATCACGAGCTGCTGCATGCGCTGCATGCGCTGCATGCGTTGCATGCGTTGCATGCGGCAGCTGGAGCGGCTTCGAGTCCTCCCCAGAGGCGAAATCGGCGAAGTTCAACATCGCCAGTTGGCCCTGAGAGGCCGCCGGAAGCCCCTGGGCGGCGCTCGTTGGCATTCCAGTGGACCAGAGACCAGTGGTCCTCGAGTTGAGGAAGAACTGCGGAAGTTCAAGTCCATTCAAGGCAGCGACGGACTTGTGCTGGCGGCCGCGGCGCGAGCTGCATGGCCGTTGCCCCCGCCTGGGAAGCCGCCGCAGGGAAAGCTCCAATTATTCAGTTTCCATGCAAAGAATTGGTCTCCGGCGCAGCCGCTGCAGCGCAAACGCCGCTCCTGCAGGGTTTGCATGCGCTGCGACGACTGCGCCGGAGCGCCGTATTGCACGGGAAAGCGGGAGTTTTGGCGCGTTTTTTCGCGGCTGCAGCCGTTTAAACCACTTAATGTTGAAATTAAAGAGGTGAAGAAGCCTCCTGAGGGGAATGAAGCCGCGAATCGCGCGGGCTGTGTAGCCGCCGCGCCGCCTGGCAGCATCGGTCGAGGCGCGGCTGTGTCTATCGCAGCCCCTTCGCCCGTCGCTAAGTTTGGCTTCTTTTTATTGAAACGATTTGAAATAAACACTTGATGCAAATTTTGGCGCGCTGAAATCCGCGTAATAGCTCCAGATCACGCTGTACGCGCTGCGCTGATGACCCACTCAACCGCACAGCCATTCAAGAACCAGCCACGCAGTTGGTGCCCTCCGCCCGGCAGTCGTTTTATTTTCCCTGAAATAATGACTTTTTTTGAATAATTGAATATGTTGCAGTTGCGAAATTTAGAAATTAAAGAGCCTTCTGGTTCACAACGACGCAGGGCTGCGCACCGGCAGAACCTGAACGCGGCCGGGCGCTTGGCGCTCGAGCTGTTGATTGCAGCCTTATTCGCCAAAATTTAGGGAATTTTAAGAACAAATATTCTTTTTGTCACCCAAAGGCCTCAACAGAAGCACTATTTTAGGGCTAGGTTGTTGAACTGAGCTGCTGCAGCGCGGGCTGCGTGCGCTGGAGGGGAAGCAGCAAAAGAAGCGCACTCAAAATTGAGCCAAGAGGCCACAGTGGGGGCTCAGTGAACAATTCTGTTTTGTTTTAAAATGCCAATTAGAATAAATCCCAACACTGAGTCCTCATTTCGAAAAAGACTTCAACATTAATTGCTAACAAAACAAATTCAAGTCTTTTTAAAACATGCGCTGTTTGCTGCTGCTCTCGTTCAACTTGCAACAGCTCTGCAAGTCCATTACAGGCATTCAGCTCCCTTGTGGCAGCCCACTGGACTGCATGTTAAAGTTGAATATCTCTGCTGCTGCTGCTGCTGCTGCTGCTGCTGCTGCTGCTGCAGCTGCTTTGATTCCTTATCGCTTCGCCTGAAAGCATATGAGCCAAAGCAGCTGCCTGAGGAAGCAGCAGAAGCAAGAAGCCCAGAAGAGCTGCTGCTGCGCTGTTTGGCTCTGCAGGCAGCAGCAGCAGCAAGCGCAGCTAGCTGCCCCACATGCAGCAGCAGCAAGCGCAGCTAGCTGCCCCACATGCAGCAGCACTTTGCCTCTGCTGCAGCGCCGGCGCTGCAGCAAAATAGTAATTTACTTAGAAGGCTTTGGCCTTCACTTTTGGGAATTTAAAAGCCCTTAAAACAGGGAAAAGGGGCAGCCCTAATGGCTTATATCTGCAGCTTTTAAAGACCCTAGCAGCAGCAGCAGCAGCAGCAGCAGCAGCAGCAGCAGCAGCAGCAAAAGGCTTTCTATCTGTAGGCCATTTTCCTCAACTACGCACCTGGGGCCCCCGCTGCAGCCCGGGGGCCCCGCTGCCGCTAGAGTTGAACTTTGGGGCTTTTAAATGCATGCATGCATTTTAATATTTCATATTTGTGGCACTAAAAGGATTTAAATAAACTTTTACTCTCTGGGGGCCCTCGAAGCTGTTCTTAGGCCTTTTCTTCTCTAGGCGAGCTGAGCAGGGGGCCCCCGGGGGGCCCCCATAAGGGGCGTTGAGCTTTTTTCTTGATAGTTAAGCCTCCCCTAGGGGGCCCCCTTTGCTGGGGCCCCCAGGGGCCCCCAGGGGCCCCCAGGGGCCCCCAAGTCCCAACTGTACCCTTTTTTCATAAGAGGGTTTCTTTTTCTGGGGGCCCAACTGTGGCCAAAAAGGGCTAATAGGGCTTTTGGGGGTTTGGGGGATTTGGGGGTTTAGAGAGGGTCTTTAGGGGAGTGGAAGGGACTCTGCAGCAGCTGCTGCGCTGCAGCAGCTCAGAGGCCAGCCTGCTGCTGCTGCTGCGCTGCAGCAGCTCAGGGGCCTGCTTGCTGCTGCTGCTAGGCTGCAACCGCTCAGAGGCTAGCTTGCTGCTGCTGCTGCGCTGCAACAGCTCAGAGGCCGGCTTGCTGCTGCTGCTGCGCTGCAGCAGCTCAGAGGCCAGCTTGCTGCTGCTGCTGCGGCGATCGGGCGCTGCAGCGCTGCAGCGACTACGAGAGAACCCTTTTATTGCAGGAGCGGGGAATGGGAGGAACTAACAAGTCCGCAAGAGGAAAGTGCAACTTTAGGATAGTTTTTGTCTTTTTAATTTAAATTATTTCCGCGTTTTGCGGAGAAGAGAAGCCAGGCTGAGTGGCGGACAGCGAGCGAAGGCGCACACGAACAAGGCGGAGGGGGGCCCTGCTTCGAGGGAGGTCTGCTGCTGCTGCGCGAATGTTGAAAAGAAACCTCTTCAGCTTTGAAAGAGTTGAAATAAATGAAATAAATGAAAAGGAGGCTGGCGGCGGCGTGTGGGCTGCGGGTCGAGGCGCTTGCGGTGTACGTACACCGCAGAGCACCGCTGGACCGCCAGCAGTGTCCAGGCGGCGCATCGCGCCGGGAAAGCGAGCATTCTTTGGTGTAAATAGATTAATTTTGAATTAAACTTGTTTGAAGCATTAAATTGGAGTGAAAAGCCGGCCAAAAGAGGCCTCTTTTGAGCCAGGTCTTCCCCGGCCTCCCCTGAGCGATCGCGCCTGAGGTCGTCAGCGGCGCCTCGGTGGTCCTCTCTGTTCAGCTGCCTTTTCGAAAGCTTGCTCTTGTGTTTTGTTTCTTTTTGCTTTTGCACATATTTTTTGAACAGATCCATTTGTTTTAAACTGCAAATCGACGCCCCCTGCGCCTCTCCCGAGTGTACAGACACCTGCCGCCGGCGCCGCCACCGCGACAGCTCGCGAGAGACCTCCACTTCATTTTCTCCGCAGCCCGGGCTCGGCTGTCCAGACAGCTGCGTTCTTTCTCTGAGATTTCCCGGGGACCAACTCGCTGCGAAAAGGTCGCAAGGAAGCTGCTGCCCGCCGCTCGTCTGGGTCGGAAGGCAGCAGCAGCAGCAGCAGCAGCAGCAGCAGCAGCAGCAGCCCGCGCTGTACGTACACCCGACGCCTCGCCACCGCCTGCTGCTGCCTCCCCGTCTTCAGTTTTATTATCTCGGGAGGCCCCGGGGGCCTTTTCGCAGCTCTCAAACTGCTGCTGCTGCGGCCAGCTGCTGCGCAAGACCACCAGAGACAGCCAGCAGCAGCTGCTGCTGCTGCAGTGTCTCTTATCTCTTTTGCTGCTCCCCCCTGGCCCTGCTGCTTCCCCTCAGCCTCTCCAGCTTCATATCCAAATTCAATTCTTTCTTTAAAAGACCTTTTTGCTGCTCTCCCGCTTCTTCGCCGGGCCAGCCCTGCCTGACCACTGGTCCTGTCCAGCAGCAGCAGCAGCAGCAGCAGCAGCAGCAGCAGCAGCAGCAGCGGCAGCAGCAGCGGGGACCTGTACTTCTGCGGCAGCTGCAGCTGCCTCTGGAGGCCCCATGATGAACAGCAACCAACGGGGCCCCTGGGGCCCTCCCGAGGGCCCCCAGGGTCTCTTAAGGGGCCCTCAGGGGGCCCCCGTCTTTCCCGGGTCTCTGAAGCAGCTGCAGCAGCTGCAGCAGCTGCAGCAGCTGCAGCAGCCAGTGGCGTTTCCTCAGCCCCACCTCGGCTCTCCCGCCTTCCAGCAGCAGCAGCAGCAGCAGCAGCAGCAGCAGCAGCAGCAGCAGCAAGCCATGGCAGCAGGCCAGTACCCTTTTTGCGCGTGGAGGGCCCCTGGGCAGCCAATCATGGTGCGAATGATCCCCAACCAGGGGGGCCCCCCTGCCCCCCCCATGGGCCCCCCAGTACCCTCTGGGGGCCCCCCTGGGGGCCCCCCTAGGGGCCCCCCTAGGGGCCCCCAGCAGTACGTTTGCCGGGTCGTGGGACAGGGGCCCCCCTTCCCCCTAAACCCTACGCAGCTGAGGCCCACAAGGGCACCGCAGGGGGCCCCCCATGGGGGGCCCCCCCTCCCTTCTGTGCAGCTGCTGGGGGGCCCCCAACAGCTCTCAAGGGGCCCCCAGGACTCGGGGGCCCACTTGGGGCCCCTGGGGGCCCCCCTCTTCTCCAGGGGCTTGCTGAACCCAGGGGGGCCCTCGGCGGGGGCCCCCAGGGGGCCCCTAGGGGCCCCGCAGCAGTTCCTCTTCAAGGGGGGAGAGCAGCAGCAGCAGCAGCAGCAGCAGCAGATGCTTTCCTCTGTTGCGCGCTTGCCCGTGAGGAGGGACCAGCAGCAGCAGCAGCAGCAGCACCAACAGCAGCAACAGCAGCAACAGCAAACGAGGCTCCAAGGGGCAAGCAGCACGCAGCATCCCATGTATAGTAAAATCCATTCTGCTGCTGAGCTCTACAATGCCCGACAAGGCCAGCAGCAGCAACAGCAACAGCAGCAACAACAGCAGCAGCAGCAACAGCAGCAACACCACAGAAACATCCCGCCAGCTACGGTGATCTCAAACGAGCAGCAACGGTCCCTCGGTGAGTCTTTCTCAGCAGCAGCAACAAGCAAGCAGCAGCAGCAGCAGCAGCAGCAGCAGCAGCAGCAGCAGCAGCAGCGGCAGCAGCAGCAGCAGCAGCTGCAGGATCGCCGCTGCGCGTCCCAGCTGCTGCCTCACGTAGACAGCGACTTGGGCGACCGCTGCGGCGCCCCCGAAGTGCGGGCCATATCCGTGCCAACTGCTGCCTCTGCCTCAGCAGCAGCAGCAGCAGCAGCAGCAGCAGCAGCAGCAGCAGCAAAGAGGCACGATCCCCCCATGCTCTGGCAGCCCCACGAGGAAATAGGGGGGGGGCCCCCCTGTTTCAGCAGGGGCTTGCCCTACCGCCCTTGCCAGGAGGCCTCTGCTGGGGCCCCCGCTGCAGTATTGCCTTTGGAGAGCTGTGGGGCCCCCCTGGGGGCCCCCCTGGGGGCCCCCCTGGGGGCCCCCCTGGGGCCCCTGGGGGCCCCCGGGGGCCCCTGGAGCCGCGCTTCCACGGGGTGGAGGCCCCCCAGGAGGGCCGAGAGGGGCCCCGGGGGCCCCGGGGCCCCTCAAGGGGCTGTAGTGAGGTCAGTGTCAGCGCATGCAGAGAGCCTCAGGGGCTCTTTGGGAGTGGGGGAGAGGGGCCCCCAGGGGGCCCCCCTGGGGGCCCCCCTGGGGCCCCCCCTGGGGCCCCTCCGGGGGTCCCTGAGGGCCCCCGTGGGGCCCCTGCTGGCCCACGAGGCCCACATCTTCAGCCCCAAAGGCCGGCAGCAGCCCCCTGTGCTGCCTGGGCTAAGCAGGGGCCCCGGGGGCCCCCTTGAGGAGGCAGAAGCAAAAAGAAACAAAAAGAAACAAAAAGGAAAAGACAGAGACTGCAGCGAAGAGGACTTGGAGACAGAGACGGGAGACGCGGAGACAGAGGAGCGTTCTCTGAGTGTGGAGACAGTTGAGAGCCGCAGCAGCAGCAGCAGCAGCAGCACGGAGGAGCCGAAGGAGCCGCAGCAGCAGCACTGCAGCAGCGACAGCAGCAGCAGCAGCCTGCTGCTGAGCCCCCGCCACGAAGCAGCAGAGCCCGCCGCCGAAGTCGAGCAGGAGAAGTACGTGAAGGTTTTGGTGCCCAAGTACGTCAGCTGGAAAGCCGCACAGCAGCAGCAGCAGCAGCAGCAGCAGCAGCAGCAGCAGGACGCAGCAGCAGCAGCAGCAGCAGGAGCAGCAGCAGCGGAGGCCTCGAGCCTCTCCCCCCGCAGCTCCGCCCCCGCGTCGGCGCCGCCC